ATGTTAATCGATAGAAGAATGAAAAGAGATAGCTCAAGCATTGATCATCATCTTTATATCAATTGATAGTAGTGCTTAAGCATCATCTCAATCACTAGCCAATTATATTGAGGGAGGTGCTTGAGAATGGCCTTAATAAATTTTGTAAATTCTATAAATCCAGAATATTACTATTGCTTTTAACAATAGTAATATACGGGATTTATAGAATTTATAAAATCTATTAAATTATTATAACTAAATTAAAATGAGTGATAATTAATATTATACTTACAGAAATAATAGACTATTCGTTAGTAGAAAGTTGCAAATTATGTAGTGTTAGATAGCGTATAATAAGAGAATCTAAATCAATTCATAAAACTAATACACGATCTATCATTAGAAAAGTAGAGTTCTAGCGAGTCTCACAGTCAATAATAGGATGCAAAAAATTATGTTCTAAAGAGACTGCTATACGTCTTAAATCTTCTATAAAAAGAACTGATTTCTGAATTTTTTTAATAAGATTATGAAGCTTAACTAAATAAGTATTTGCTAATTTTAGACTATTCTTAACTGCAAGATTCATTATATGAGTAGCATAATGAACATGCTAGAATAATGTATTTGAAAAATTACTAGCAAGTATATTTTTAATTATACTACTAGCTAAAATAATATTGCTAGCATTATCAGAAGTTAATGCTAAAACTTTACTCTCTAATCTAAACTTATTTAGAAGTGATAGAATTGCATCTGAAATTGCTTGACCAGTATGAGATAAGGGAATTTCAAAAATATCTAAAAGAATATGATGAAGTTTTCAATTTTTATCAATAAAATAACAAGTAATAGCCATATAACTAGTCATAGTATAAGAACTCCAAATATCAGTCATTAATGAGACTTTGCAAGAAAGATTAGAAATAAAATTTATAATTAAATTTCTTTTATCTATAAATTTAGAGTTAATTAAGCTATTAATATTTTGTCGACAAGGAAGTTAAAATCATAAATCAAGCTCATGAATAAATTGGCTAAAATAAAAATTATCAACAAGTGCAAAAGCTTGTAAATTAACTACAATCTATTTTAGAAGAAAACTAATTTTTCTTTCTTGAATATCTTGTAGATATGGTGTAGGATATAAATAGCAATCTAAAGAGGTTTGTCAAAAATCATTATATAATCCAGAATGCTGAGATTAAATATGTTGATCTAGTGAACTTGTTGCTGTTTTTTTCACTATAAATTCTTTGACAATAATTATATTAACGCTGTCTAGAATCAAGTATAGTAAAAAAAATCCCATACATATGAAGATAATGATCGTTTATTTAAAGATTTTGTAGTCAATGAACCTTTATTATTATCTTGTATAGAAGAGCTACTATTTATTTCAATATCAGAGCTTTAATTTTCTTGTGTTTGTTCATAACTATTTGAATTTTCAATATCTTGAGTTATTTCATATTCAAAATAATCCAATTCATACTCAAAATCAAATTCTTGTTCATTATCAGAATTTGATTCTTTATTAGATTCTTGGTTATCACTAAAATTTGAATTATTTTCATTATCAAAAGATTTATTACTTATTTTTGAGCAGGTTATAATAGTATCACGACTCATTGATAAAGATAAATTTGAAAGAAAGTAAAAAATAATTAAATATTTATTCATAACGAATACTAATCTTTTATAAAGAAAATTTTTTAAGCAATACTTTATTATTATTATAATTTATTTAGTGAGTAATTTAATTATTATTATAAAAATTATCAAATTATTAAATTACTAATCTAATTGCTTACAATTATTATATCTTTTTTAAAACAAGTATTTATGCCTTTTGGTATCTTAAAATTATCTTTGCTAATTTAAAAAAAAAAAGTATTCAAACAATATGAATCTGATATAAACTGTTACCAAATTATCACTCTTTTCAATTTAGTTAATTCAATAAATTTGTGAATCTTATGAATCCTGAATATTATCATTGTTTTAACAATGGCAACATGCGGCGTTCATAGGATTCACAAAATTTATTAAATTAACTAAATCAACAAGAGTAATAATTTAGTTATAGTTTATATCAAGTTTTAGAGTATTCTCGAATATCTCATTAAATGAATTTAAAGAAAGTTTTAAATATTATTATCATTACAAGAAGTACTTTATTTATTGCTTTAATTAATTGCAATGATTAAACATTTACTTTCATATTAAGAAGAACTACTTGGACTCAAATCACTAACTTTTTCTGATAATCACTTGTACCAAATTTTCTTGAAAAAAACTTGCAATATTACAAAATTCTACTAAGTAAACTACTTTTGGCC